CTGCCTGCAATCTGTCTTTGGGATATTTTGAAGAGGCTGCCCCCGCCGGAGCTGTTGTCGGCGGCAATGGTGTGCAAGGGGTGGAGGGAGACGACGAGGAGGCTGTGGAAGGCTGCGGAAATGCTTAGGATTAGGGTTCCGGCGAGGGCTCAGGTCGGGCTTGTTGGATCGGTGTTGCAAAAGTGCCCGGGTCTCGTTAACCTCTCTCTTAGAATGGAAAGGTATTATTGCCTTTTGTCGAGAGGCTACTCCTCTCTCTCTCTCTCTCTCTCTCTCTCTCGCTCTCGCTCTCTGTGTGTCAGATCTAAGGGTTTATCGAACAGATCTGGTTACAGCAATGGAGTTTACAGAATAAAATCTAAAATGAAGAAATGGAACACGATCTGAACTCTGAGTTTAATAATATTCAAATGAAATTGAAGAGAGAACAAACAGCTAAAACGAAATGGGGTTTGATAAATGCAATGAATAGAGCATCATACCGTATTTGATCTATTATGATTTGATCCACGCAGCATTGATTTCAAAACCGGCAAGTTACACTGTGAATGCTAGAATCAAATAATGTTGAAAATGGTGCATTGCATTTGGGATATAATCTTTGAATAATTTGCTGTTGCAGTGATGTGGATGCAACATTGCTGGCCTGGATCACATTTTCATGCCCAAATCTTGAATTCCTGGAGATCACTACTTCTGAAACGGCTATCAATCGAATCACCGGGTACGATTATCTTCTTCTATAGTTCTAGTGCATTCATGTTTCTTTGCTGTATTAAACTTTGCACTGCTGTTTCTGTTGGACATTTAGATTGGTATTGTTGGCTATTTTCTGTTTCCAACTATTTGTTGTGTAGTGTGGATTAGATAATAGTGATAGTTAAATGGTGCAAGGTGCCAAACCAACGCTTGTGATGGCTGATTAGTTCAATCCATTCTGTGATTTTAAAAATACAGTGATGAGCTGGGTCGTTTTGTTGCTGATAGACGATTACTGAAAAGCCTTAAGATGGAAGCTTGTTCTAATTTAGGTGGATTTGCTCTTTCTTCATCAAGTCTTTCTACAATTTGGCTTTCTGGTCTTCACTCCCTTTCTAAGATGGTGATTATTTTTCTATTTCCTTTTTGTCTCTCATGCATTGTTTTCTTTCTGCCTTTCATTTGTTGTTAAAGTGACTTCTCTCTTACTCATGCACATTCCTTTTTCACAGGTTTTTAATTGCCCCAATCTAAAAGAGATTTCTGTAGACTTTTCTCGCCATGAAAATGATAATACCGATCTTGTTACCATGGTTGATGCTCTGGGAAGGAACTGCCCAAGGTTGCAAAACATACACATTGCATCAATCCAGCTTTCCAATGCTGTTGTTCTTGCCCTTACAGCTGCACAATTAAGGTTTGCCGCTGAATTTGTTTTGAGGCCAATAGACTACTGCATTTCTTGGTTACATTTTTTTAATCACTGCACAATTGGTCTCATGAAGATTTCTCTGTTCATTTCATTATCCAGGGGGTTGAGAATGCTTTCTCTTGTTCTTGGATCTGATATCACTGATGCTTCTGTTGCTGCCATTGCTTCAAGTTACCCAAACTTAGAATTGCTTGACCTGAGTGGGTATGTTTTCAGTCCTATGGTTTAATTGCATTTGATTTTTTTACTTAAGCTATGATTGCCTGATATGTGCAATATTTAAGTACAGTGTTTCCTTTTAAATAGATTTCTGTTAAGACTTTTGTGAATTAAGTTTAATGCTCTGTAAAAGAAAGTGCCATCTATAGACTTTTGTGAACTGGACTCGAATAATATAGTGACGCCCGTTATGATCCCAGGCCTTGAAGATTGGCCATTCATTTAATTCTCAAGATGTAATGTTTGACTCTGCATTTTGATTACAGATCTAGCATCACTGATAGTGGCATTGGAATGATTTGCAATGTGTTCCCTGATACTCTTTCAAGACTACTGGTTGCTCTTTGTCCTAACATCAGTGCAAGTAATCACCTAGTCCAGAGACTCAAAGATTTATTGGTTTCACATAAACTTTTGTTCACTAACTGCTGTCTGTAAATTTCAGGTTTTATTCAGTTCGCCACAGCTCAACTGCCTCTTCTTGAACTCCTGGACTGTGGCTTGACCATATGTGATCCCAACTCTCTGGATTCAACATCTGAGGAAACCACTGGCTTTGAATTGGCACAAACATCCAATGCTAAAGTACACCTTAGTTACCAGAAGCTGATCATTAAACATGGCCGGCTGAAAAAACTCAGCTTGTGGGGCTGTTCTGGCTTAGATGTGAGGCTCTTAAACTAAAAAAAGTTAGTTGTGTTTTTGTATCGCTTCTCTGATGGATCTTAATTATTCAATCTGGATGCAGGCTCTATATTTAAACTGCCCCGAACTTAAAGATCTGAATTTGAATTCTTGCAAAAATTTGTATCCAGGTACATAATTTGATCTCCCGACTTGTCACCTATGACATGTTTTTCTATCAAGTTTTCTGTCAATTTATTTGCATAGTTAAGTGATTGTTGTTTGTATTTATCCAGAGAGATTGGTGCTTCAGTGCCCCAATTTAGAAAATGTGCATGCATCAGGTTGTCAAGAATTGTTGATTGGGGCCATCCAGAGCCAGGTAGTTTTAAATTCCCTACTTCTGTTTGGCATCTGAGAAAACTAACCTAGGAAATGTAGATATTTCTCTAAAATTTGGATACGCTATATCAGTTTATGTCTCTGTTGACGGTCGAGGCTCAAAGAAAGTGATTTGGAAAGTTGCTAATCTTGCATTTTTGTTGTCTTTGTTTGTAGGTCAATAATAACTTTGCTGGTGTGGATAGCTTATTACCATGTAAGCGTCTAGCCGATGGCTCAAAGAGGGTTCGGGTGCCACATTTTCTTAGTGCACAGGTAACAATCTACAGCTTCTCTTTAAACTGGCTGCAAAAGGATCTCATGCTATACACTTCTGTAAACATTGTGGTTCATGTTTCTTTTCGCAGTCATCCGATGACGATAAGAAGCGAAGAAGGGTTGAGAGGCCGAAATGCAATGTGCTTGTGTTCTGAATCTGATCACATGTCCTGGGACATTCCCGTTGCTCTTGTTTGTTGCCATATTGGTTTCCCAAGGCTGCTGTATTTTTGTAAACAATAACTTTTATATTTGATCCTAATCATTGTAGGGGGCGCTGGTGTCTTGTAGAATTACCTTTCCTTTAAGGAAACTGGATGTTGTTTTACCCTCAAACTGATGATAGTCCAAGACTCCAAATTGGAGGGACACATTAAATTAATTAGCCCAACTAGGATTTACAAACCTCATTTCAAATAAATTGTTTATGTTTCAATCATGAACCATTTTGTTTTCTAGTTCATGTTCCAGTAGCAGTGCAGCTGAACCATTTGTTGGGTTAAGGTTTTATCTTTTCTTCTATCTGTCTAAGGAAATATATTCAATTAGTTTATTTATACTTTATATTTATTTATATTTCTCAAAGTATCCCTAAAAAACTCATAAATTGCAGAAGCATACGTTTATGTGGTAGACAATGTTAATTCTTGAAACTGTTGGGGCGGGGCACAAAAGCATCAAAACGTTAATTCCCGGGAAAACAAGAAAAAATAAAAAAACACAGTGGTTCGTAACTAAAGACAAATAAAAAAGAGTAGGCGTACGGTGTACGTGGGTTTTCAATAAACCTTCTCCAACACCAAGATGGAGAAGTGAAGTATGTTAATGTCACTGAACATCCTTATGTTGCCCTTATATTGTTAGGGCGACGACAAGTTTCTCCTCTACTTCGTATTTTCTCAAAAACTCTCCTTTTACCGTTTTAAGTTTCTCTCTCTCTCTCTCTCTCTCTCTTTGGGTCTTTTGTGATTCGGCCATGGAGGTATCTCTGTCTTCCGCAACCTCGAGAGGTTACACGTATAACTCACCACCAGGTCTCTCTTTCCTATCTTCTAATTTATCTTCACATGGTTTTCATACAATTTTATCATTTATCTTTTGTGATGGCATGATTCTAATTATATGGAAATATCCACCAGTTTAATTCCAGATTGATACTCCCTCTTTTTTTCCCGATGATTTTTTTTAATAAAATCAAAATTTGTTGTAATTAAACCCAAAATTTATATCATTCTGCATCAGCTATTGTTCATTAATATGACACAGAAGAAACTGCAACATAATTTCATAAAGTGTTGTAAAATCAAATTGCTGTAGAAAAAACAAAGGATCTTCAGAAACCCAATTGAGTGGAGTTTGTGATTTGCTTATCTGTAGAGCCGTTTCTGCTTAAAAGAGTGAAACTTCCTACTTGGGATCGTCATTTGTTGTTCCTCTCTCCAACCAGAGTAAGACCACAACCTTTATTTGCTCAAACTGGACCCCACTCTGCCAAGGATAACTCTGTGAAGGTTTGCAAATGCTCTCTGTTTGGGTGATTTTTAAGTCTAATTTTTCTCTCTATGGGTTTCGTTTGGTTGATACTCTGTGTTTCCTCTACAGGTTGTATGTTGTCTAAAGAGGGAAGCTACCGTAGTCGTTGAGGGCAGGTATGCCATCTTCGGTGTTGCAAGCTGTAACTCGCATATGTGTTTGCTTTCTGTCTCATGGGTGGTATTTTTGTACAGAAAATGGCCATTGCATTTGATGGTTAAACTAAAACTAAATAAAACTTTTCTGTTTATTTTGTGATGTGTATATACATATTTGTTTAAGCATTCTACTGCTTTTGATAGCAGTTGTTTCTGTTTCCTTTAAGGTGTATGGATGAAGTATATGATGCTCTGGCCGAACGCCTTGTTCCTACAGCAGCAGCAATGTCAAATCCAAATTTGAAGTAAGTTCCAGCTTCTGATTGGCAAATATAAATGTGAATGCATCTGAATTTACACACTTTCCAGTAATTTTTGCTCAATTTTTATTTGCTCCTTTCTTATTGTATGCTATAATCTTTAGAGAACACGGACCATGAACTGTTTGAATTTTTTTATTGTCTGACTTATTTTGGTATGGCTTTTACCTTTTTGAATTGTATTTGATTATCAAGTAGTTTTTCCTTGTTACTCTTCAAAGTAATCTATCTGCCTGAACTACTATGCTGCTATGCAGGTATATTGTTGGTTTGGCTGGGTCTCCTGGATCTGGAAAGAGCACTATTGCATCTGAAGTAGTGCAACGTGTAAACAGATTATGGCCCCAGAAAGCTTGTGCATTGGATTCCCAAGTTAGTCCTCCAGACATGGCTGCAGTCATTCCCATGGATGGGTTCCATCTTTATTGTTCCCAGCTGGATGCAATGGAGGTTAGCCTTCTGATATTTTAATTTTGTTTTTCATCATTCGATGCTCTAGTTGTGGATGGTAGTCCTAGCATAGATTCTAAAATCTGTTTAAGCATAAAATTATTGAACATTTAGTAAGCTTAAGATATAATTGGGGGAACATGATGATTTGTGAGAAACTAGTTTTACTAACATCACTAACTAACTTGCAGTGATTATCAGAAAAGAATCTTTTCAGATACACGAATCATGATTTGATTACATATATGTGGATCATAAAGTAAGCCAAAGTTATAAGATTTGATTAACCTGTCTTCTTAAAATGCATCTAGCTGTAAATGATACAACTATTGTTGTAGCAGTTATCCAGAATTGAGTAACAACTTACTACTGATTTGCTCAACCATATAATGTTGGTTGATTTATAAACTCTGCAGTGATGCACTATGCTGTGTCACTTACCAAGCTATGGACCAAATTTTTGGTTGAAACAACATTTATTTGGCTTCCATATTGCATAATTAGATGTTTAAAAGTCGATTTGTCCTTGTATGCCAGCACATGAATATATTACAAAACATTATAGGTGATAAAAATAGTTTCAGTTCTAATTTTCTGTAATGTGCTAACATTTTAGAATCCTGAGGAAGCTCATGCAAGAAGGGGAGGTGAGGTTTCTATATTCTGTGATTGATTGATTAACACCTTGAAAGCTTTGAAGCTTTGATCTTACAAATTGGTGATTCAGCTCCATGGACCTTTAACCCTGAGCTACTACTCAAGTCTCTCAAGACTCTGAGAAGTCAGGTAATTAGTTGATACTCTTAACTTATGTGATCGCCTCAAGTTTAGCAATATGTGATGCATTCTAAAAGGAAGATTGTTTCAGGGATCAGTTTATGCACCGTCATTTGACCATGGTGTTGGAGATCCAGTAGAAGATGATATCTTTGTGAGCCTTCAGTGAGTAATCTGTTCCTTTCACGTAAGTTGCCTTCTTAATACCAGCTAAAGAATTAGGTGGGTTCCGAACAATTATAATAGACATGGCTGATGTAAAAGCTGAAGAAACCTGGGAGCCTAAACAATTTATAATAACAATATTTGTTTGGAAATAATGGATTGCAAGTAGTAAATCCGATTGGCTTTTACAGGAGGCTATATTAAAAACCAGTGAACTGACGTGAACAATTTGGGATGCCAAGAACTTTAAGCCTTATAGATGATCTTACAATTATGTTATTTTGATTCTTACATGTTTGATGAATCCTTTGTGTGTCTTTGCAGACATAAAGTGGTCATAGTAGAAGGAAATTATTTATTGTTAGATGATGGGATTTGGAAGGAAATATCAGCCATGTTCGATGAGAAGTGGTAAGCCGCAGGTTCTCAAAGGCTATTTTTTTGGGTGCAAAATTGTATGTTAAAAGAGATCAGATGGTATGGTTTGGCCTTACCTCTCAAATTGTGATTTTTGATCATTATGATATTTGACTGGCCTCTGTTTGAGTCTATGATGTGCATACCTTATCCGATCATTTATGTTTTTGAAGACTGAAACTTAAGTGTTGGTCGCTTAAGGCTATTGTTTGTTGCTTTTCCCTGCAAGGTTTGTTGAGGTTGACATTGATAAAGCTATGGAACGAGTTCGAATGAGACACATCTTAACAGGTATGTAATCCTTAGTTTTTAACCACCTAGTCTTGGAAATGAACCTGGGGAAAAAACGTGTTTTGATTGCTTTCTTTGTTTTCTGCATTGCAGGAAAGCCCCCAGATGTTGCTAAATGGCGGGTAAGTTCTTCATGTTGTTCAGAGCCATGAATTTTCACTATGGGGTTAGTCAATAAGTTTTCACTAAGACGTTGCATATGACCTTTAATTCATTCACCCTGTAGATTGAGTACAACGACCGGCCGAATGCTGAGACAGTAAACAAATCAAAGAAGAATGCCGATTTGATAATTAGGTCAATCGACTTTTGAAGCCAGAAGGCGATCCGCCCTGCTGGTCGTGCCAGTAAACGAAGCTTTGGTTTTCTATCTGTTTTTCATCCAATTTATGCAAACTCAAGTTCTAAGAAGTATGAAAGTGGTCGAAGAACATCAAATAAACCATTTAATAAAGAGAGTTTTGTAAAATGCAATTTATCTCTACTATGTTTAACTTATACCATTTGACGCTTGTCATACAATCCACCATTTTACTTCTTTTGGCATAACATTATAAAGTATAGAGTTAAATTTTTATTTTATTTTTTATAATACAAGTGATATTCTAATTCAATTTAATCTAAACTTCGGGGAGGGGAATTCGAACTCGAACGCAGAGTGGGGAGCATATCCCCCATCTCTGTAGAGTTAGAAACTGCAAATCTCTGTAGAGTAAGAAACTGCAAATCCCTTTCCAAAGTCTAAAGCAATAAATCTAGCAAAGAAAAAGAACGGGATGCGTATAAATGCTCCATTAACATCCACATGCTCATGTTCCCCCAAAAAACGACGTCCTGGAGCATCCCAATTAATATTTTTTTAATACACAGAAAAAGACCATACATAAAAATAATTAAAGGATCAAAATTAAAAACAACACACATTTCTTAAATACAACAAAATTAATTAACTGGTACGTACATGATTATGCTTAAGCAAGCCATTATTGCAACACTAAACAAAGCAAACCCCAAGCCCCGTCCTTGGACGTACTTCAAACTTAAGATCCAGTTTTAATGGTTCTGTCTGTCCATAATTTATTTAAAAAATAAACTCAAAATATATGTATCTCATATTCAATAATTACACATATATCAAACCATAAACATTAATTAATCAATCTTACAAACAAACATATCCAATTCATCACCAAAACATGCTGCTCAATCCATCTGCGCGTTGTGCCGTGTTTGGTGGTTTTGGTTTATTGCAGCCACCGCGACGAGATCAAAGGAGCAGGCTGTGGTGATTCATTGCTAAGTACTCTTAGCTTCTGTTCTTGCATTTCTCCATGGCCCTCGGTGCTGAAAAAATCATTCCAAAGTTTTATAGTCATGAAAAATTTATAGGAT